CTTTCTTAGGACCCAAGATCCCATTGTACTGTACCATCTTGGTTCCACCCTTTTAGAGCATGTTTTTTTTCATATTAAATAATGCTGATCCACTCTGTACTCTGCTGATATTTATTGAGCATTGATTATGTATTGGGGATCTTTCTAGGCACTTGGAATTCATTAGTGAACCAAAACAAAAGAGAAAAGCCTGACATTTTTGAACCTAAAAATAATTGAGGTTCAAAGGAAAACTAAAGAATGAATCATTTATTCTCCCCCAACAAGGTGATGTTTTTCAAATGTGTTAATGTGGCCGAAAAGAAAAACAGAACACGTGGAAAATTTGAGCCAAGTGAACAAGGGCACTCAGATACCACTCAGAAGTCCACAGAGAACGAGACAAAGATGAAGAAACACTAGTAAGAGTGAGGAAGCATCTGTGGATGGGAGGCAGAGCCTCACACACAGATAATCCTCGGGCCTTAGAAGGTTACAAATGTTAGATCTTTCTCTCTCCTGGCTTGTTTTCTCTTTCTATCCTTTATTTTACGGTTTATATCTTGGTAAACGAGAGGCCCAAGGCCAAGTCTAACCAAGCATATACATTTCTGTAGATAAAGTTTTATTGTAACACACCATGTCCACTTATGTACTTAATATGTATGGCTGCACCAGCTAAGTAGTTGTGTTCAGGACCATATGGCCACAGTGCTACACCCTGTGATTTGCTCTCTCTGTAAAAAGTTTTCTGCCCTTGCATCCTTCTGGAATGGCTGAGTCTACATTTTGCTGAGTTTGGCCTTGAGAAAGCAGAAAGTGCTGATTACACTCCACACTGCATTTGGTGCTCAGCTTCTCAGCTCTTTTTGATGTGTGTGAAGGGAGAGAAGCCAGCCTTCCACCAGGGGTCTAATGGGGCAGAGAGCCGTCCAACAGGCAGCAAGTTCTCAACGCCTCACAGGGTCATCTTGGATAGAGCATCTGAGACAAATGGGTGACTGATTAGAATACCCAGGAAAGAGGGAGATGAGGTGATTGGAAACTTTATTCATTCTAAGAACTCTCCAGAGTCTTCCTACATTGTGACTTGTGGAGGACAGAATTCTGCCTGCTAGCATGCAGTGTATTGAATTTTGTCCTTGGAGACTTCATGCTGCTCCCATTGACTTCAATGGGACTAATGGGCTATTTTGTCCCACGACATCTGTGCTGGCTTCAGGCTATTTAACAAACTCTTAAACAAATCCCAATAAACTACTCTTTAATGGGTACTTAATTCTGTTGTGGGGGTGGGTGCTGAGCACACCTAAGTCCTTTCTTTTCCTTCAGGTTTGCTAAGTTTCTTCCTTTTTATGACTTGGTAATTATCGCACCAGAGAACCCTTAGTCAGGCAGTACTAAACCACTCAGAGTCACAGGATGTTGACTTTTGACCATCTCAGCTGATCACTCTACTCTTTGGGTTCCAATTGATTACTCCTTTACATTTCGTAGGTGAAATCATTTTAACATGAATCATCCCTAGCTTAATGGGTAACATACACAAGCATTTGGGATTTTCGATTTCAAGAAGTATTTGTTGAACATCTGAATTCAGGTGAACTTAGCAAGGAGAAAAAGTCATTCTAGTTTGTAGGAAAAGAGGACACAAAGGATGGGTTGGTGTTTCTGCTGTTTTGAATGGCTTTCCTGATGTTACAGGATGGTTAGGCCATTCATTTTTGTGGGATCCATTCACTAATTATGTTTTACCTAACTACACTGTATATCTACAATACTCATATGTTTTTTGAGCTCTCTTAAACCCAGATGTTTCAGTGATTTGTTTTCCTTTAAGATGATTTTGTTTTGCTGAAGGTGTGTACATGAAGACTCCACAAAGGCCTTATGTAATGAGAAATAGTATGATTTTATTAGCTCATGAAACTAACAAACATGGAAGATCTAACTACCCTTATGTTTACAGTATAATGTTCTACCTGAATATGCTTTAAATATGCTTTGTGGAGTGCATTGGATAATACGTTTTCATCCCGCACAGCAAGCAGGCGAAACTAAAAATATAACTGCCTGTGGCTTATTCCTCCCAGTTGAACTCTTTAGAGCACCATACTTACGAGTTATATGTCCAATCACCTACCACATTCACTTCTTTCTTAAATGAGAAGAGGCATGGCACGGGAAAATACAGAAACACATATTTCTGAACATATATGTTATCTGGCATTTAAAATGGAACCGGAATTTAGTGGCCAGTAGGAGAGGCACAGTACTCTTCTTGAGGGAATAGTAAGTACTAATGCTTGGTGAAAAGGGCAGTAGAAAAATGACAAAATATGAAAAGTTTTGGAAGTGCTTCCTTTTACTAATTTTCACTACTAATTTCATTAGTCTCACTATGAGCCCCGCAGGATCAAGAACAGTGCTGATCTCAATTCTTTCAATCAAAGATCAGATGGTCAATAATACTATATTTTCCTGCATGAAATAACTAAGTTCTTTTCTATGTGACAGAAATTAAAACAAAGTTCCGGTTGTTAGGAACACTCAGTCTCATAGCCATGTAAAGCACATCACTAAAATAGAGCATGTTATCCTTTAGTTTCTCAACTCCCACCCTCCCTCTGGTGGTCCCAGAGATATTGAGGGAGAGGTAACCTTTGTATGCAATCATGGTGAATGGGTGAGTTCACTATACTGTGAGGCCTGTGGAGGATTATCTCTCCTGAGTGTTGAGATCTGGCTGTGCCCCAAGTGTAGTTATGCCATTTTTTCAAAAAACAATGTTTTTTTTCTTTCTTTTAGCCTTTCTTGCCCTGGGAAATCCCCAGTCCCAGAGAAACTGTCTACCAGTTTCCCAGCTTTGGCCTTTCCGGCCTCTTTAAAACGCCTCTGTAGCCTTTCTATAACATACATAAACACATTTAGAGAGAGACTTACTGTCTAATGTGTAATGTATACTCTGAAAGTTAACATTATTAACTAAGTTTGGAATAAAAAACACCCCAAAAAGTAAACATCTGTGTTCGCCTTGGTCAGGGATAGCAAGGAAAGAGGGACTACCTAGCCAACGAAACCATGGTGCCTTGTGAATTTATTGATATTCAATAAATTCTGACATCGTGGAATGACACAAACTTGTTTGTCTGTTTCTGACATAGTACCTTCAGTACAATATGGGGCCAGCCTCAGAAAGAGGACTTAGGAAGAACTTGGGATGCTTAAGAAGAGGGGCAGAAAGAGCGTAAGAGCCAGAGGGGCAAGACACCTGCTGCCACTAGGTATTCTAGACCTGTTAGGGAAGCCGCACCCATGAAATTCCCACAGTGTGGTAGACTAGCAAGATATGCATTTAATAACAAAACCAGTTGACATACCAAGGTGAATGGGGGAAATCTCAACGGATCCCACCTCAAGATGAAGAGCTGCAGGCAATCAGTGGATGTTGAGGGAGGGAGAATCAATTAGTTCCCTGTAAGGTTATCTATCTAGGGTTTAGGCGGCCCCAAACACAGTTACATAGAAGCACCTCTGAATGGACTGAGTGCATTACATATATGTGTATCTATAAATGTATGTATGTATGTATAGCTATAAATGTATGTATGTATGTATGTGTATCTATAAATGTATGTATGTATGTATAGCTATAAATGTATGTATGTATATGTAATAATAATCAAGGAAAGAGACAGGAAATTGAGAGGGAGTGGGGAGTTGTGGGAGGAGTGGGGGAGACTGGAAGGGATGGAAATGGTGTGTAGATGCACTGATGTATGATGTTCACAAAAAATAAAAAGAAATCATGGACTTTGCAGCTCTTGTGAGCAGTGTATAAGCAGTAGAGGAAAACAGCATCAGAAAAGCTTTGAGTTAGATTTGGGACTTTAATATGGGGACATGGGAGAGTCACTGGTTGACTTTAAACAAAAGGGAGGAACTGGAAAGATGGTTGGGCTTAGGGATATGGCTTAGTCAGTAAAGTGTCTGGTCTGAAAACATAAGGACCTGAGTTCCAATCCCTAGCACCCAGGTAGAAAGCTAGCCATGGTGGCCTACATCTATAACCCAGTCCTGGAGGTGTGGGGGTTGGGGGATGGAGATGGGAGGATCCTTGGGGTTCTTCATCCAGCCAAGCTGAATTAATGATCTCCAGGTTCAGTGAGAAACCCCATCTCTAAAAATAAGGAAGATGTTGGCCTCTGGCCTCTACATATGTACACACACATACATGCACACATACATGCACACACACACACACACACACACATGCACACACAGTAACCTGAACTCTGACAAATCCTGAAACGTAAGCAGAAAGCCAGTAAGTAAAGTCCCAGTAAAGGCAATGTCAAACAGGGGATGGTCAGAGGAAAGTAGCTAATGGTAGTTAGATACTGAATGGGTATTCTTCCATCCTGCATCCTAAAACAAAGCAAATGGAACAAGCTCCTACCCTTTTTTAAAAAAGAGTAGTTTACTGCACATACTGCCACAGAGCAATGGGCTGGATTAGCTACAGTACAGCCTGCAACTGCAACCCAGGCTTTATACATGGCTTAACCCTGGGTTTCATAGTCCCCTTCTCAAGAAATGGTTCCTTTTAATGGCATAATCCCTAACTGATATTTTTGTTTGTTGTCTGATTTGGACAATCTTTCCTAGACATATGAACGGCTATTTATCAAGCTAGACTCTAATTTTATGATAATTATAATTGCAATCACAATTGTAATAGTTACACCAATGAAATTACACTTTTCAGACTATAATTAAATTATAATATATAGCAATATAAGGTGATATATTTTAAAAATACACCCAAATTTGTTGATAAAAGGATCATCAGAGAAGATCAACACACCCAAAATAATTTAGTTGGTTATACATATCATTCCCAAATTCTTTTAGAATTCTCAGTTAGCTTATATGAGAGAGCATTGATCTACATAATACTGGGCAAGTCTCATGCCTGTCCAGGACTGACATGGCCTGGCGAGGTCTTGTGTGAGCCATACCTGTGCTGTCTTCATACACAACAGTCACTGTTTTCCAGTTGTAATAGAGGACCAGATCCAAGACAGCCCTGCTGATAGCTGCATAGTCTGGATAGAGGTTGATGTAAAACAAATCTTTGTTGTCCACAGAAGGGTGTTTCCAGCGGGTTTGAATGTGTGGAACTTCGAGGGCGTTGCAAATAGATTGCACAGCACTGACGGAGGAGCTGTGGGAAGGACCAAAGAGAGCAGCCACACCAAGAGCCAACTGGTCGCATGCTGATGATATCCAAAGACACAGAGGGGATGGTGAGGGAGGGCGGGGAAGGAGGAGAGAAAGAAAGAGTTCTGTAAATTTGTGCTTTTCCTCATGTGACTCTCCACTTAACTCTTGGAGAAACTCCTATTGTTTCTATCTCTGTGTTAAAGCCCGCTCCTTCCAACCTCCAATATTCTTGAGCTACAAATACTGATAAATGTAAGTATAGAACTGATTAGCAATACATCACAGGACCAACTCCTTGCAAATAAAAATGAGTTACCCGTCTCACTTCATTACCTTCAATCAGATGGAGGCTAAATCTTTTACTTGATCCCCAGAGCACTCTGTGAGGTAACTAAGAAGCCATCTGTCATATAAATGTCTTAAGAATTAAGTTCCATCATATGGCAGGGTGACAATGAAGAGATTAGTTCGGTCAAAGAATTCTGAGGACCTGTTGGGTGACTATAAAATGCTTTGGCTTCTGTCTTTCCAAAACTTAGGTAGGAGTTTCAGGCTATTGAAATATGTGGAAGAATACTCATCACCAGTAATGATACCAAATTAATTGCAGAATAATGGGATGGCATAGCATAAAGGGATCTTTAGAGGACATTTGGTCCATCCCACTCATTTTCTAGGCAATGGCTTAGTCATGGTCACTGGACAGTAGCAGAGATGCATCAGAGCTTGGGGTCCCAGCTCAAGGTCAGGCCCTTTTCTCTTTGCATGATCAACTTAACAAAAATTGAAATCATATATTTAAAATGTTATTTGTAATATTTTGTGTTACAAGAACATGTGTATTCATTATGAAAATTTAGAATACTGAAGCTGTTTGAAAGACCAGGTGGTTCCATCATTAGTCCATCAACTCGGGATAACACTCGCTGATGTTTTAGAAAATTGGGATTATCACGCAAATGCAGCATGATATATTCCTTTCTTCACTGAACGGAAAAGCACGCCTTTTCCCCCAAGGTAGTAAAAATTTCTCAAGACTGTATTTCTTTTAAAAAATATTTTATTTATTAATTTTATTTTGTGTTTATGAGTGTATTGTCTGCATGTATGTAAGTGTACCCATATTGTGCAATGCCTGCAGAGGTCAGAAGAAGGTTTCACATCCCCTGGAACTGGAGTTACAGATGATTGCTAGCTGCCATGTGGGTGCTGGGAATCGAACCTGGGTCTTCTGCAAGAGCAGTCAGTGCTCTTAACTGCTGAGCCATTTCTCCAACCCAGAAGTCACTATACTTTTAAATTAATTGATATGTATTAGCCAGATTCCCTTCCAGAAAGATTGGGACTATTTATCCTCTTCTACCATGAGAAATAGTCCCTATTAATCTTATTTGGGTGGGTGTCAAATATAAGTTTGCATGCATTTTTCATATTTAAATTTTAAAGGTATTTAGAGTTGCCAAGAGATATTGGCTGAACATCCTAATTAAATAACTAGATTTATAAATGAATTTGTGTTAGGTTTGTATAATAATACAATTTTATAAAAAGCTGAATTTCTCTGAGGTAAATTAGAAAGAATAAAGAGTGAAAATTTGAAAGATGTTGCAGGTATCTAAGGAAGAGCAGATGTTGACAGTCGTTTTCATGGAACCCTTTCGGACAGTGTTGGTTGGTGCTGAGTTTCCATCGGAGCCATGAAGATGCAGTTTTCTTCCATGAGTGCCGAAGGTGTATCTTGTCACTGGTTCATTTCTAGATGTGTTTTCATTAGCCAGACAAAGTGTGAGTTCAGGAGTATGGGAATTGTTTTATGCAGCGTGGACAATGAATTGAGATTCCTGTTAATATGTAACTCTGGGATGCTAATATTTCTTGACAGAAAATCAATCCTTTTGAGTTCTGTTCACCAGCAAATTACCAGTGTTAAGAAGCTTTGGGTGTTTAATTTACAATATGACAGTTTCTTCAAAACAAACAAACAAAAAGCCTTCATTTCTTTTATGTGGGTTGAAGTATCATTGCTAAATGTTGTTGGCATTGTATAGTGTTGCTCAGCAGGGAGAGAGAGAGACAGAGAGAGAGAGAGAGAGAGAGAGACAGAGAGACAGAGAGACAGAGAGACAGAGAGACAGAGAGATCTGATTTAGCTAAAGTCCATATGAAGATACTTTATAAGCTTTAAAGTACAAATCTAAATATAAAATTTTATTGCTTGTTTGTAGGCAACTCGGACCTATAAGGCATCTTTAACTCCATCCATTTTTTTTTCAGTCATGCCCAGGTTGACCTCAAACTCAACCTAGCCTCATTGGTGCTGAGATTATAGGTACATATTTTCATGCCTAACTGCCTTCCATCTTAATAAAAAAATGGATTCTTATATAAGATCATGTTGCAGGCAGAAGAATAACATGATTGTATTAATTTTCATCTGCTTGGTAAGAAAAGTTTTATATTTTGTTGGTAAGAGGACTATAATTCTTGTAGGCAAGTACATCAGGCAGCACATTCTCTGATCTAACTGGGTTGTTTCCGTTAACATTCAGTTGCTTGGAAGTCAGCATGAACATAGAATTCATTGTGTTGTGTTATTTGTGTGTCTGCAAAATGCAAGCCATCTTCTGAAAGGAAAACAACCGTTTATAGACATAAGATGGACAGCAAACTTTTGTTCACATACAAATCCTTTATCTTCTGAATAGTTTCTTTGTTGGAGTCCAGGCTTTAAGTATATGGACTCATTATTGAATCGTCCCAGACGTGCCCAGGGGATGTCTAAACCAGCCTTTTAACTTCATAAGAATCATCCCACACAATAAAGTTTGCAGCATTTGTGTTCAGAAGAAAAAAGAGAATCAAATTCTGATTTGTTCTTCTAGATTTAATTTTCATATTATGATTTTTCAGAAAAGAGCAAAACACAAAAAATTAAGGAGGTGTCAGGTAACCCAGCAGTGTGCAGCCTGCTAGAATTTAAGATGTGACTTGTGTGTGTCCTGGGCAGTTCCACATGTTTACTGGATGTGACCTTCCACAAAGTTTCATTTGACTGCACTGTACAATTTCATGGTGGTAGCTCAGCTTCAGGAAGGAAAAACAGATCAAGCTTGACATTTTCCATTCACAGCTGAACCAGTTAATCATAGAGGAGAGGGTACTGAGGGGTGAGCTAATCAGAAATGCCCAGAAAACAGGGCTAGGCAGCGTCTATTAGGTGAGTTCAGATTGCATTGATCAGTGGCATTGAGGAGCAGGATTTCCTACAACCCATTTTCACTAAGATGTCCACTTTGAAAAGGGGCAGGAACGGAAAAGAATGTGACTGGTGCAGCAGACTGATCACCCAAAAAAGCTTTTTAAAATGGGAAAATAGTTACCTCTGCGGGAGGCTTCAAAACTATCAAAAAGACTAATTCTCTGGATGTCATAGGTTAATGTGGTGTTAGGCATCAGGGTTCGGTTTCGGTTAATGCTGGTGACTGCAAACTTGAAAGCTAATTCTTCAACATTAACAGGTTCATTTTCCACAGTTTCAAAAATCCCTCCTGCAGAAGCAAAAAAGATGCATGAGAAGCATTAGTTACACTGCACACACATCACTGTCTTAAAAAATAAGAATATAAACTACAAACAGAAGACCCCCAAACAGTTAAAGCCTGGGATGCTGAGAGTAGATTCCGAATCTAAGGCTGAAAGTTATCAGCATCTGTTACACACAAACAGATATTTCTAATTACAGATGTATATCAAGGTTTTAAATCCAATACTGGATTTTATTATGCCTCTCAGATAGCAGATATATCCAAATATTTCATACCATGAAAGTACAGATGATAATATGGTGCAAAACAGTTTTCAGTAATTTGGACAAGAATCATGCTTTGCTTGGCATAACTTAAGCTTTATCCTGGTAAGACAATCCTTCCTTAGGATAAAAACTTTTCTGTTCAAAAGCATAGATTCTAGGGGCTACAGAGATGGTTCAGCAGTTAGAGAGAATGGCTCTTGCAAAGGACCCAAATACGGCTTCCAGCACCCAAGTTGGGCAGCTTATAACCACCTGTAACTCTTGCTCTAGGGCATTTGACACCGTCTCTGGCCTCCAAGGATACCCGCACTCACATGCTTACATAACCACACATAGGCACACACAAACACATAATTAAAAATCAAATAAATCTTTACAAAAACCCAGACATTCTGGACATTTGGGATCATCCAGGGGTGAACTGGGGTCAAAATGAAACACTTCATCTCTTACATTTTTCAGAATGAAAACGTTTTCTAGACTTCCTGGAGTCATATTCTGCATTCTGATACAGTCTAAAGCATATGGGCACATTAAAAGGATTATTTTATCTTTTTGAAAAATTGCTTGATTATGCCCCAGAGCAAACTTGAAATCTAACTATGGGAATATATATTTCTCTGGGTCTTAGGTTCTAATATCTTAAATATGAGCATGGTTTTCAGAAGAAATGACATCACACATTAGTGCTTAGGCTTCATCAGAGACTCCAGCTCTGACTTCACTTGAAACATTGGTGTTAGGTAGAGATGATGTAGATATAGTTAAATATACATTCTTAAAGTTGTTTAAGAGCTGCTTCTGAGGTTATCGCAAAAGACACAGAACCTCCACTTAGTTTACTCCCTGATTTACCTAAATCTGTTTTCTTTGAAAATCCATACTTTATGCCCATGTCATAATGAATTCTTGAAACTAGTAAGCTGCTATTTATTTACTTTCATTATTTCTTACCGAGTCAATAGTAGGTGTTTCCAAACCTATCTATGCCATATTGATTTGTCAGTAAGTTTGCCATAAGTTCTCTCTTGTTTCAAGGAAAAAAGAAGACAAAACATTCTCAAATGAAAATGAAAAATAGGCATTATGGATATGATTTGTGTCCATTCTTCCTTAGATGGAATATATCAATGGACATACTCTAAATAGATATAATTACCCTAATTCTACTTTGAAAGACTAGCAAACAAATGCTCTTGTATAACTTTCCATTGAACTGATGTTCTTTATTAAGAAACTACAGTGCTTTGAAAGCAAGAAGGCATATAGTGATCCAATTTGGCTCCTTTTGCTCCTTTTGGGCAAGTTTCTGGCATTTATTAACCAAAGTCACACATGCTTGGTTAGTTTCAGCTGTCAACTTGACAAACTTGGAAACATCTGGGAAGAGAGTTTTAGTTGAGCGACTGTCATCATTTGGTCTCTGGGCATGTCTGTGGGGGATTGTCCTTATGTGAGAGTCACCATTTCATGGGCTGGGTCCTGGACTGTGTAAGATTGGAGAAAGCTAGCCTAGTGCTGAGTAGCAAGCATGTAAGCATTTCTCTGCTTATAACAGCATGAATAATTCATGTATAGATTACTTCCATGGTTTTCTGGGAAATTACAGTCTATATGTTGATGTTCTATACATTTGTTCCAAAAGTAGTAGAAAATACTTCTATTTTCCTCTGTTAGACAATCATAATCAGGGAATTGGGGATGTATTACCAGTTTCTCTCAGAACTGTGAAGGGACAGAGAGGAGGTGAGCTCAGACAATAAACCCTGGGTGGTCAAAGGAAGATGTATGTAAGACGAGCTTATTGCCATGGTCAAGGCAAACCACACAGACGATTCCTGGTGTTGGAGTTTCTGTAGTAGTCGTTAGAATTATTTGTTTACTTGTCAGTGTCTCCAGTCCTAGCAGAAGCTCTTTAGCAGGGAGTTAGTGTCACCCAGAGTCACCACCGCTATGGAGACCAAGTCATCTTAGGATATTCAGGCTGCAACTACTTAGAGAGGAAGTGAATCTCTGTCTGTATGTGTGAGGGCAGCCTGTGGGAGGGCACAAACTTCTGGACAGGAAACAGAAGCTCTGAATTTGGGACACTGGTTTTACCTCATTCCTCTCTGAGGAGATTTTTAAGTTTTTGGGTAAAAGTCACTGTTAAGTAGCTCTTTTGTGTATTTTTATCAACCTTATAATATATATAGGAGATACTATTCCTGGTTTTATAAAGGAGAAAAAGAACAAGCATATTATACATTTTATCTAGTTAGTTCAGTCACAAGCCTTATCTGTGACAAACCTGGGTGTTCAATTGTCCAGTGTATCTATGTGTGCCCATGGCTCTACTTCATCAAGTTATTTCTACCCTTTTTCATCTCTAAATGTGGATAACGGTTCGTCTTATAAGACCCTTGAAAACACAACTATTCCCCCAGAAAATGGTTGATATTGTTGAACATGGGTGATAAAAACCAGTGGTTACCACTTTTGCAACTTACGGCTCCACTCAAAAGTATTCCTCTCATGTAGAGTTGTCATTTACAGAAAGCTGGATGTTCTCGGGTTTAAGAAAATGATGCATTTGTTTTTATGTTTTTAAAGTGTGAATAGGTGAACTCCATGTTGGCATTAAAAAAATGTGTCATTCATTCACCAAATGAGAATTACACATGGTGTCAGTAGTTCCCCCCTCCCCACATGCTCTTTTCCTCCAGGAAAGGACACCTGAAAAATACTAAGAGTGCACAGTGACATGGGGTGTGTGGTCCTGGAGAAGTGCCAGAAGCACAGCATCGACTAAAAACAGGAGAAAGTGTTAACAGGAGCCAGACACACACAGGTGGTGGTGCAGACTGCTAAGAGTCAGCTTCCTCCTCTTCTTTTTACCCCTTAGCTTTAGATTTGAGATGTGGAGGGTTTAATACAAAGAGTGAGAGGACTCATCCCTAGGGACACTCACGATGCCTCTCTCTCTCCTTCTCTCCCTCTGTCCCTCCCTCTTTCTCTCCACCTCCCTCCTCTCCCTCCCTCCTTCTCTCCCCTCCCTCCTTCTCTCCCCCTCCCCTTTTCTCCCCCTCCCTCCTTCTCTCCCCTCCCTCCTCTCCCCCGTTCCTCCCTCCTTCTCTCCCTCCCTCCACCTTCTCTCTGTGTTCCTTTTTCCTTTCCCCGTTCTCCCCCTTCCTTCTCCTTCATGTCCCCCTCCCTCTATGTCCCTTTTCTTCCCTCGCTCTTCCCTCCCCTTTCCTCTCTCTGTCCTTTCTTCCTTCTCTGCCTTGTTTCTTCCTTTTCACTTTTTGAGATTTGTGAACAAGGAGTAGTAATGAAATATTTAAATCCTTCTTAGGGAAGGAAATATTAAAGTCCTTCGTGGGGCTAACTTTGGGCCTCAGGCTTTTGGAGTCCAGGAGTCCCACCAGTCGGAGACAGGAAATCACCCCTCAGTCGTCCTCTGCTCTTACAGCTCCTGTCCCTCATTCTCCTAAGGTCATTGCATCCCTATATTTTCACTCTTCCCTATTTGAGCTGAGCTAAGCACAACTTCTGCTCCTAAGAATTCAATGAGCTGTGGAAGAAGTTAGGAAACTAAGAAGGTAGTTTAGGCTCAAGGGTGGAACAGACGCCCTTCCAGATCAGTGGGAAGAGAAAGGGGCAAGACTTTGAGAGCTCAAGGTGATAAACAGGTTTCTCCTTTCCCTTGGAGATCTTAGGCATGGCAGATGGAGCTCAGGAGGGCAGAATCTTCCATGAGGGCAACAGGCCTGGGTGACCATGCTGGCTTTTTTACATCAGGAGTAACTGAGGCGTGAGGTGTTGGCAAACTGTATTTTGCTTTTATTACGATGTGGGTCAGGCTGAGTGTGTACAGATCACATGTCAATCCTTATAAACTAGATGGGACTGGGCAGAAAAGTCATCTGTCTTATCACCATCAGCAAGGTGAGCAACGGTCAAAAGTCTTCATTAACATGCCTAGCCTCTTCCTGGCCCTTCCTCCAAGTCACTCGCAACTCGACATCACAGCTCAGTATGGTTTGGAATCACTGGCTAAATAAAAGTTTAAAAAGTAGAAGAGGTTGGAAAGGGTGTTTCTAAATTCAGGTCTTCATGCTTATATGCAAGACTTTATCCACTGAGACATCTTCTCAGCCCGTGCAGAACAAAAGCTGAGCATGTTGGTGTGTCTGTAATCCACAGAAGGATTTGGGCAGGTAACTGACCAGTCAGTGTAGCTAATCACTGAGCTCCAGGTTCAATGAGACCCCGTTTTAAATAACAAGGTGAAAAGTGATAGAGAATTCTAGATAAAGGCAGCTAATGTCAACCTCTGACCTCTACACTCACATGCAAGGGCAGGTCCACACATGTGGACAAAGGCAAACAGCACACTCACACAAAATAAAATAATTTTTTAAGTAGAAGAGACTGGGATTTTCAGTCATGCTCTAGTTTTCTATATGGATAGTTGTGCTATTTGAAATGGAAAGGGTAAAATCATAGTTCTTATAAATACCAAAATAGGTATGAGTTCTGAAAAATGAATGTTTTTATGTCCTTAATAAATGAATATATTTAGACTTGATGTTCTGGATCCTGTGGGCCTTCTTGCATTGATTTTCCTTCATTGTGCTTTGCTGGGAAGAGAGGTTGGTACAAATAGGGTTTATGCTTATAAGAGCTCTGTGCTCTTTACTCTGTGTTCCCTGCACTTGAGCCCAGCTGCCACACACAGCCACTAAATAAAGGAGA